GGATCCCAGCACAGGACACCCCTTGGCCTTTTAACCACCATCCTGTGCACCTTCTTTTTGCTCACGGCCTCATCTTTTGTGAGCTGCTTCACACTCCCACAGGGAGCAGAGGCCAATTTCCACCCCCAACCCTCTCCCACCTCCTGGGTGCTCCATTGGACTTCCCTTCTACAAATTCCTGGGGCCATGCTCCCGGCGAGAGCCCAACATCTGAGGCTGATGCCAACCTCCAAGCAGGGTACAAGCTGAACAGGCTTGGGCCAGACTTCGTTGTTCTCAGACGTGAGCAAGCCCAGACCCAGTCTACCTCCCAGGGCGTGGGACAGTGGGTTGTGGAGTCAGAGGTGGTTTTCAGGGCGCTGTTGAGACTTGTGGGTGATGTTGAGCCAGATGTGTGAGGGATCAGCCCTGGTGTGTCTGGGGCGAGAGAACCAGACAGACCACTCCTCAGGGAAGTAGGCCAAACCAATAAATAGAGGCTCTGCACAAAAGAATAGGTCTTGGAGTAACAAGTTTCCTGAGGAATGAGTAATACAGAGAGAGACACAACCACTTAAGAAGTGTGGAGTCCAATTTCTCCTGTCATTTGGCTGCAGCTCACTGGAGAAAGATACTAAACCCAGTGATCCTTTTTAGATGCTGACCCAGTGATTCCCCTATCTGGGTCTACGTGGACTCAAGACTCAGGACTCATTGTTTGCCACCTCCACTTTTTTTTTTTTTTTTAACTTTTAGGTTCAGGGAACATGTGAAGGCTTTTTACATATGTAAGCTCATTTCATAAGGCTGATTGTACAAATTATTTCATCACCCAGATATTAAACCCAGTAGCCAAGAGTTATCTTTTCTGCTCCTCTCCCTTCTCCCACCCTACACCCTCATGTAGGCCCCAGCGTCTATTGTTTCCTTCTTTGCGTTCATAAATTCTCATCATTTATTCCCTCTTCTAAGTGAGGACGTGTGGTATTTAGTTTGCTAAGGATAACAGCTTCCAGCTCCATCCACATTCCTGCAAACACATGATCTCATTTTTATAGCTGCATAGTATTCCATGGTGTATATGTACCACATTTTCTTTATCTAATCTGTAACTGATGGGCATTTAGGTTGATTTCATGTCTTTGCTATTGTGAATAGTGCTGCAGTAAACATTTGTGTGCATGTCCTTATGGTAGAATGATTTCTATTCCTCTGGATATATACCCAGTAATGGGATTGCTAGGTCAAATGGTAGTTCTGCTTTTAGCTCTTTGAGAAATTGCCATACTGCTTTCCACAATGGATGAACTAATTTACACTCCCACCAACAGTGTATGTTTCCTTTTCTCCACAACAGAAAATTAACAGATGGTTGGCATCTGTTATTTTTTCTTTCTAATCATAGCCATTCCGACTGGTGTGAGATGGTATCCCCTTGTGGTTTTGATTTGCATTTCTCTAATGACCAGTGATATTGAGATTTCTTTCAAATGTGCCTATGTCTTGACTGTGCCTATGTCTTCTTCTGAAAACTGTCTGTTCATATCCTTTGCCCACTTTTTAACGGGATTGTTTGTTTTTCTCTTGAAAATTTGTTTAAGTTCCTTATAGATGCTGGATATTAGACCTTTGTCAGATGCATAGTTTGCAAAAATGTTCTCCCATTCTGTAGGTTGTCTGTTTACATGGACCTGACCTTCTTACAGTACGAAAAGGAACGGGAGGGGAGGGGCAACTTGTCCTGAGAACTAAAGAGTGGTCAGGATCCATCTCCGTGAGCCTGAGTCTCCCCCTCTAAGAAGTCGGCCTCTCTCTCCCCCTCAGCTTTTGCCACCCTCCAAAGCTCCTCTCCATTTCCACTCATCCTCTAGCACCTCCTTCATCTTTCCCAACCCCTGCCCCCATCTCAGAGTGTGAGGGGTCCCTTTGACTGCCCAGTCTCAACTCACTCCCTCATTTTGCCTGATCACTTCCTATTCATCTTCGAAGGCTCAACTCAGGCCAGGTCTTCCCTGGGAAGGCTTTTCCCCACTGCTTAGTTAGGTTGGTGCCCTGCTCTCTGCTCCTCCGTCACCTCAAATTTCTCTGTAGTTGCATTACAGGTTGAGCATCTGTGATCTAAAAACCCAAAATCCAAAATGCTCCAAAATCCAAAACTTTCTGAGTGCCAACATGAAGCCACAAGGGGAAAATTCCATACCTGAACTGACCTCATGGGATGGGCGGTAGGCAAAAGGCAGTCAAAACTTTGTTTCATGCATAAAATTATAAAAATGTTGTGTACACATGTGCCAGGGTGGGTTGCTGCATCCATCACCCCGCCATCTATATTAGGTATTTTTCCTAATGATATCCCTTCCCTAACCCCCAGCCCTTGCTATTCCTCCCCTACCCCCCATCCCCCAACAGGCCCCGGTATGTGATGTTCCCCTTCCTGTGTCCCTGTGTTCTCATTGTTCAAATAAAAAAAAAACGTTGTGTAAAATTACCTGCAGACTATGTGTACGAGGTATATTGAAACAAAGTAAATTTCGTGTTTAAACTTAGGTCCCCTCCCCAGAAAGATATCTCATTATGTATATGCAAATATTCAAAAATCTAAAATCATCCAAAATCTGAAACACCTCTGGTCTCAAGCATTTCAGACAAGGGGGACTCAACTTCGTCGGCTTTTAGGTAGTACTGGCTAGTGTGTGGAAGACTGTGCCTAGATTAGAGCTTGCACACCATGGTCATGTCACTGCATCTCTGAAACTCCAGGACCTACCACAGTATCTTGGACATGACAAGCGCTCACTAAATATTTGTTGAATAAACACCCAGCTTGGAGGGGTGTTTGAAGATTAAACAAGATAATAGATATGAAAACAAACTGTAAATTGCTATTACATTTATTACTGTTTTCCATGGATATTTTTGAGTTATACAAACTAACATTATCATATATATTAATAATATTATTGTAATATGTGCCGAAGTCTGGGCAGAGAGATTTGTTCTAAGTCAAATGTTGAGATCATGATCAGAAATACACATCTCTCTATATAACAGTTTATTCATCTCTAAATTCATATCATGAATGACAGGAATTATTAAAATTCCTAGGTTGAAGATGACAGTTCTGTAAGTTATCTGTCCAATAAGGTGGAGGGGTGCTGGCTTGGGGAATGAATGTCACCACCTCTGCCTTGCATGTGTTGAGGACTTTGGACCATTGGTTCTTATATGTGCAGTAATAAATTAATCTGAAAAATCAGCCGATGGAAGGAAATAAATGCCATTGGCCCTTCCCTTTATGTTTCTTCTCTTTTCTCAGGAGAGGGAGTGTCAACAGGCTAAACCTGTGTCCTCCCTGCTGGGAGGGTGGGGTGCCTGAGGAGGGGGTCATGAGGGTGGGGGCAGCTGCTGATCATGAGGGCAGCCCAAGCTCACTGTCACAGCCGTCAAAAGCCAGCCTGCCAGGTAGAGCTGCCACTTCTCCTGTTGCAAAATTCTATCTAGTAAGTAAGTGTCTCCTTCCTTAGCATAATAAACACTCAAGGCCAGCCAGATCCAGTACACAGTGATGCTTGGCACGCCCATCACCTCCTCAGCCAGAGCAGTCCTTCAGACACATCTGATCACCCTTACTCTGTCCAGAAGCACTAATAGAAACAGATTCCTCCTCCCTTCATTTTCTTCCCTCTCTCTTTCCCTCCCTCCCTTCTTTCTTCCTTTCTGCTTTCCTGCCCTTTTTAAAATTTCTTAATAAAACTTAACTTTATTTATTTTTTTGAATAGGTAATACGTTCTCAAGGTTGCAGGAAATAATTATGAAAAGACAAAGTGTAAAATCTCTCTCTTTTGACTGCCACTTAGAAACCTCGGTGCCCACTGTGTATCCTTGCAGAGATTTTTTTTTTTTTGAGACAGAGTCTTACTCTGTCGCCCAGGCTAGAGTGCAGTGGTGCAATCTCAGCTCACTGCAATCTCTGCCACGCGGGTTCAAGCAATTCTCCTGTCTCAGCTTTCCGAGTAGTTGGATTACAGGCACCCACCGCCACACCCTGCCAATTTTTGTATTTTGAGTAGAGTGGCTGGTCTTGAACTACTGACCTTGTGATTCACCCACCTTGGCCTCCCAAAGTGCTGGGATCACAGGCATAAATCTGGCTGGAGAGATTTTTAAAAACTGTGCCTACCAACATATTTACATGCTGATAGGATTATATATCCCTGATTCCCAGACTCCTTTTTAAACAAAGGTAGTATTTGTATGGTGATACATAGTGTTCTGCTTCTTAATTTTCTCAGTAAATGATATATCTTAGAGATGTTTCTATATGAGAATATGAAGAGCTTTTGCTATCATTTTTTATAAATATATAGTTTTCTTTTTGAGACAGAGTCTCGCTCTGTCACCCAGACTGGAGTGCAGTGGCGCAATCTCAGCTCACTACAACCTCCACCTCCTGGGTTCAAGCGATTTTCCTGCCTCAGCCTCCTGAGGAGCTAGGCTTCCAGGTACATGCCACCACGCCTGGTTAATTTTTGTATTTTTAGTTGAGATGAGGTTTCATCATGTTGACTAGGCTGGTCTCAAACTCCCGACCGCAATTGATCCTCCCGCCTCAGCCTCCCAAAGTGTTGGGATTACAGGCATGAGCCACCACAGCCAGCCATAACTGTATAGTTTTCTAATTCATAACTTATTTAATCAGTCCAGAACTGCTGGACATTTACAATGAATGCTGCAACAAATAACTTTTCAACTGTATATCTGTAATTAAAAGTGGAATTGCTAGGTCTAAGTGCAGATGTGTTTGCAGTTTTTGATGACTATTGCCAAACTGCCTGTCATAGAATTGCACTACTTTAAAATAGAAATAATTCGGCTAGGTGCAGTGGCTCATGCCCATAACTCCAGCACTTAGGGAGGCCAAGGGAGGAAAATCACTTGAGCCCAGGAGTTCCAGACCAGCCTGGGAAACCTAGCAAGGCTCATGTCTACAAAAAATTAAAAAATTAGCAATCATGTAGCACATACCTGTAGTGCCAGCTACTTGGGAGGCTAAGGTGGGAGGATTGCTTGAGCCTGCGAGGTCGAGGCTACATGAGCTATGATTGCTTGACTATACTCCAGCGTGGGTGACAGAACAAGATCCCACCTCAAAAAAACAAAAAAAGAAAATGAAATTATTTTACTATCAATTTTCATGTATTAAGCCAGCACAGTGGTGGCATTACATTTTTTTTTTTTTTTTTTTTTTTTTTTTTTTTTTTTTTTTT